TCCAGGAGAACTGACAGCCCCATGCTGCTTTTTCCCAGGGATTGATGATTCTGACACTGGGGAGAAATTTCATTCACCCAAGTGCTGTGTCATTCCCATAAAGACACAACGCAAAATTCCCGCCTGCATGACAAGAAGTTTCTTGAGTATTATCAAGCTAAGCTCAAAGTGCCAGGATGCAAGTGAGCAGCAAAGAGATATTGATCACAGAGAAAAAATTTCCAATAGCAATTTTAAACCAGTCTTGCCAGAAGGCAGCTGGATTCCAGAGACTGTGACACCAGCTACTCCATCGTTCCTACTCCATCCCATGCCAGCAGATTTGGAAATCCTTAGGGATCCTCGATGCCAGTTTTTATTCACCACCCAGAAGAAATGTAGCTGGGTTTTTTCCCTTGTTTTCCTTGTTTCCCTTCTTGATCTGATAGTTCTTCGTGTTTTCATGGAGGAAAAAAAGTTATTAAGTGAGATCCCATTTAAGGATGTATGTACAGACTGACAATTTAGATGTTGTTCATCAGTTCCCAGATAAAATTTTCAGAAGAAACTAAGTGACTTAGGATCCTGCTTCTCAGTTGTAATTAAAATATTTAGGAATTTACATCACAGTGGAAGTCTGAGCCAGCCATGAACCTAGATTGCTGTTGCGAGTTAATTTAATTTAGGTCTCTCTAGGCTTTTTTGAAGATACTTTAGTTATTTTTTTTAATTGGGTGAGAACCTGAGAATGAGCTGAAGGAAGACTGAGTAGTACTCCATACATCTATATTCTGTGCTAAATATTGTGCAGTTTGGTCATTTCTCCAGTAAGAAGTAAGAAATTTGTTAGACCAAGATAAACTCACCAATGTCAAAAAAGTTTGCTTATGGGTGAAGAGCAGCAGCAGTTTTGAGGAAAAAATTCCTAATCCTTTATGCAATAGATCCAGGACACAGTGAACTAAATGCCATTTCTCCATCCTTTAAACATATATGCACTTAAACCAGCCTTCTGGGATATAGGAGTGTCTGTGCTGGAAGTTCGCCTGAAGTTTAAAGCACTAAAATAGCATTTCAGACATAGCAGAAGTCAACTGATTTTAGAGAAATTGTGACCATAGGATTAACTATTGCCCTCCCAAACGTTCAGCAACACAGTATTCTGCTCTCTTTGTCAGAGAGGAGAGAGCTGTTAGAGCTGAGGTGTGCTCAAAACTGCACAGTCAAAACAGCAGTGAATTTGAGCTGTCCTTTTGCATCCTAGTTTGCAGCATTAAGGAAAAACTGCATCAGCAGCTGGGATCAGTAGGAGGCAGGAATGAAAATGTGTGCCAAGTACACATCATGCCCTCCATCTTCAGAAATCTGGTGTATGCTTGCACAGACCCTTGCCTCCTAAGCTGACTCCTATTTCCTCATCCTGTCCTCCTCATACGTGCTGGCTGGGATGGCAGTGGGGGAAACCCCAGCTAAGTACAGACCACCAGGGAGACACTGGGCTTTTGCTGACTGTGAGCTGCTAATACCCCATGCCTGGAAAATGGTAATTATTATGGCATGCTTGTCTGCTTAAATTTTGGCTCTTTTCGTGGGTCAGCCCAAAAGCCAGAGCTGTGAAATGGTTTATAGCTCAGGTCCATTTCTCTCTTGCCTGTATTTTGCTTAGTGCATCTAGTTAGTTCTAAGTGATCAATCTTGTCAACAAGAAATTAGGAAGTATTTAGCTTCTCATTTCTCTGGATATAATGATAGATTCATAGACATTAAGTGGCTGGTGCTTACAGCTACCTCATTTTAGCATAAGCTGTGGCTAAAGCACCACATTTTGATTGTGAGACACAGGACTCAACCTCATGGCTCCAACTGTCATGTCTAACTCAGGTATGTATCTCAAGGGATAAAGACAAAATTAAAACAAATTCTACTCCTAATACTGTGAAATCTGATTAGTGCAGAAAGGGCAACTCTGAGCCGATATTTGATATGGTGATGATCACATTTAACCCCATTAGTCATTCCTGATTTGCTTAGCATGTGCATCATGCTGGACAAAAAAAAATTCAGAGGCCAAATCGATATGTTTCTTTTAACACTGGGTGTGCCCTTGGTTCTTTCAGTTCACAATGACCTCAAGTGCTGACATCCAGATTTGATCCAAGTTTTTATTCTACTTTACAGAGATAAGCAGAATAGGGAGCTCCTGATTCCAGCACTAAGGGAAGCAGGAGTTACAGCCATTCTGGTAATAGAATAAAGTTATTTTGTGCATCACAGTGTATCCAGTGGCACCATTAATTGTTCATTGATCCTCTCTACATAAAAGGTTACAGCAGGGCTGTTTGCCAGCATCAGTTAAGCAGAACAATAGTTGTGATTGTAAAAATATTGAATACTTTCTATGCTAATGTTTTGCCTTGTCACTGTTCTTTTTCTGCTGGTCTGCTCTGTTTTGACCTGTCATGAAACACCTGTTCTTTAAGTGGTGTCTTTGCATATTTCCCCTGTTAGTCTCTTTTTCTCTCTCTTCTTTGTGAAAACATAGTTCTGGCAGTGACTGAAAAACTTCACAACTGTTTTTCTTATTCCAAAAAAAGTCACCCTACCACCCACAAAGGAACCCACTTGGCTTTTCTTTATGACCCTGCCATTTTGCAGGTCTGTAAAGCACCCTACTCCCTAAAAACTGTGCAACCAGCCACTGTTGTGTTATTTCTTCCTCTCTTTGTAATTTTGGTTTTGGGTAAAACTGGATTTTTTTTTCTCTAGGACAATGATGCAGGGGGAGGAAGGGAGCAAAATTTTAAAAAGAGAAAAGCCTGATGGTCAGTAAATAATGAAAAACACTGACATAGCTAAAAAGGCTTCATGAATCAATGAGTCATCCTGACAAAGGCATGTTGTAGAGCTAAGAGTCAGGGAAACATCTAGACATTTGGCAAATCTAATGAGCTCAAATAACAGATATATTTAGCAGTGCTGTGTGACATGAAGGATGATTCTCATAGTCAGGTTAACCCTCTAACAATGGCAGGCATAATGCCAGTCTTAGAAGCACTGACTGAGATACTGGGCAGGAAAAGTCCTGTCTTCTTATGGGGAGAGATTGATGTAAACAGGTGCATAAATAATCTTTTTCCTATTCGACCCTTGTTTTTGTGAGAGTGACATCCACATGAAAAGCTGTAGTAAACTACTCAGCACAAGGTTATCCAAGCAGGCTCAGGGGAAAAAAAAGTATTTGTCCTAAGAATGATGATGATGTTTTTACACCTCTCAGCAAAGCAGATGTAAGGGGCTCCTTTTCTAATGTCATACAAAAAGCCCAATCCCAGACACAAGAGTGTCACTTCTGTGGAAGCAGGCCAGGATCAGTAACTATCTGTGCCACTCGAAGGTGTAGAAGAGCAGAGCAGAATTGTCAAAATCAGGCTTTATCATCTCTACAAGTTGTGAGGACAGTACAGTTCCAGGACCAGCCTATCAGGAACAGTCTTTCACTGCAGACAGAAAAGTGAACTGTACTGATCCAGAAGTCAGGAGATTGAGATTAAACATACCAGTAGCACAACAGGGAGGTGGAAGATTGGATTCAAGTATTTTATCTACTTTATGTACTTTAAGAGACTTATTTGTGCCTCTTCCGCAGTGAGGAAAACTGCTCTCTGGGGTTAGCTGTCAGTAGGGCAGGTACCACTCACCAATGGTATTTCTCAGGTTGGTACCTGGTAACTTGCAGTGTCTGGGTTAGAACAAAGAATTTTTTCACAACATAATTTCAGGGAATACCTTTGGTTTCCATTCTGTTTCAGAAAGAATTAAGAAAATTAGATAAGAGAAATTCCCTCTTTTTCTACCTGAAAACATTTCTCTATTTCACCTCTAAGTGATATGTCCAGTATGCCTCAAAGGTCCTCAGAGGGTCACTGAGACCTGAGATGTTTAGTTTATCTAACTAAACACCATCCTCAGGCACTCTGAGGGAGGTGGCTCTCTTTTTTTTGAGATTAACACAATGCCATTTTACCAGAGAAAAGAGGTTAACTCTGATATTGATAGTTCTGCTAACTGCTCAATTATTTTCACCCCAGGATAGGAAAAGTCTATGACAGACACTAGAGCAAAGAGAAAATAGAAAGATTAGGAAACATGAAACTGAAAGGCAGCAAAAGCTGGCTCAGTCTCACCAGTATTAATTGAAAGGATATTTCCAATAACTTTTGTTTTTGTTAAAGAAGAGCACAGTTTTCCAATACTGGATTAGAATTTAGATTAAGTCTAGCCTTTATTGTGACTTTGTTGTAGTCTTGACCACTCAATCATTGTGCAGTTGGGTCCCTTTCAGAGAAATGGGGTTCACATAGCTTTGCCAGTGATTGTACAGTTTCCCACAAGGCAGAAACCCAGTGTGGTTCCCTCTGTCCCCAGAAAGGGTCGATGAGCCCCAAGCTGAAATCACAAAATGTTGTCACCGTGTTGTCTCTATTTGTGAGTGATTTGTTAGCACAGGATAACCAGGATCCATGTTTTGGGCTGGCCCAAAAAGCTCTGACAGTAACATTAATATTGCATTTCAAACATAGGCTTGCTTTGTACTGCTGCATCTGGCCATCCTATAGCCACCACAAAAGGCACCACACGGCTAAGTTGGTGACCAGGCTGCATAAAATTTCAAGCATTTGCAGGGCATTATTTGTGAACACTCTCCAGAGTGAGAATGATACAATTCATTAGAAAATGAGTTTTCAGATAAATTTACACAGGAGAAAGAACTGACATTTCTTGAAGGAATCACTGCAAATTATTTATGTGTTTTAAGTCAAAATTGACTATGAAAGGTCGTTCGTCCCACAGCTGGTGGAGCGATTTATAGCTGATAAAAATGGTAGCATTCAGGCAGCCAATCTCTATCAAAACCAAACAAATTTATTACAGTGTCTCAAAGCTTAATACTTCCTTCACAGAGCAAAACCACAAAATATGTGTAAGTTATGTTAGTAGCATTTGTCAATGGCCAAAAAAGAGAGGTTTTGAGATGGAAGGAATTCCATACAACATACCTTCTGTGCATTTAGTGAACATCAAAAATCAGCATATTCTAACTGCAATGTTTCTTGTTGCAGTTTTCTGGAAAGACAGTTTATCCTGAAATGTCAGCACACAGAAAGATGGAGGTAGGAGTACTGGACTATCCCACCAGTCCCTTTTCATTCCTGTTTTATAATCCAAACAGTAAAGCAAAGCAGATTTGTGAAGGAAAACAGAAACCTTACTGTTAGTATTTGGAAGTGCCAGGCTTTAAAAAGAAATCAAAATACAAGTCACAGATGAGTTATCAGTCCCTAATCTTGCCCTGATGATCTATGTATTTTATTAAAAATCTATGAACCCAAAAGTGTAAGTCTTAAAGGCTTGCAAAGTCTCCAGCAGATGGGGTTTTGTTTGTGCATCACCATTGGGCCACATTTGCTCAGCCTGGCATCTATTTTTTCCTCTGCCCCAAAATATTATTATTATAATTTGTATGCTTAAGTGCCAGATTTTCTGATTTTTCTGAGCTGCTTTCATCACTAGAACAGGCAAAACTGGCTTTAAGCCACTTATATATTCCCCTGGAGTCTGGAGACAGCCAGATGTCAGTCCAATACCTTGCATAAATTACAGCAGCCTCAGGAATGTTCTGCCTGGTTATCCACACACACAAAGGGCTACTCTGGTGCCCAAGAACAATCAAGAAAGCAGAGTGCTCCAATTAAGTTTCTTTATTTCCCGATATCTCCTTTCCATTAGGGGAACACAAAGAACAGTGTGGTTCTTGGAAGTTCCTGCTTTATGCCTTGAAACGATATAATTTTTAGTAAGAGCCATAAAAGGCAAGAGGTACCAGTTTTGTGATATTGTGGTGCTGGAACACAGAGAATGCAGCATCACTGAAATTTTATTAGCAAGAATGGTATTTTTCTTTCTCCTGGTATCAAATGATACAGGAGAGTAAGCTCTGCTTTCCATAATATATTAAGTATATGCTATGACATCAATGAGATATTTTTCCACCTAATGTATCTTATATCTCAGTAATTTAGGATGCAGTCTTGCTACCTTTTCTGGGGACCTGAATTACACCAGCTAAGTGCAGATGCAAAATTACATTCATAATTTTACAGGTTTAAAAAATATATTTGTGTTAACGACAGACAATTGAATATAATATGTGTAGGTGAATGCATATAGAGGATGTAAATTCTGACTGGTTTTCAAGGGAGCATCCGTAAAACATTGCCAAAGGGAGAGAACTGTGTGATATAATCCATCTCAGACATTATTTCATGATCAAGGTAATTTTTCTGTCCCTGTGGCAATATTTTACACAAATAATGCTAAAGAAAACTGTCCCTATTTGTTTCATCATGCTTCTGAATGTAAATCTTAATTTGAAGTGTCTTCTGAAACAGAAAGTGAATGCTGATTTGAAGAGCTTGTGTCTGCAAACACGGTGTGGGAGAGGCAATGCCTGAATCACCAGGAAACAGCAATTACATCTGCTGTAAAATCATCTCCCATGCAGAGAGAATCAAGAAGAAGAGCAGAGAGATATATCTGTGCACAGTGGTATGTGTCTTTAGTACACAATGTCTATTTTCCTTCTATTTATATCTTGCAATTTCTTGAAACACTTACCCCAATCAGGTGGTTAATATTTTGTATGTCTCCTCCTTATTCTATGTCCCAGTCCTTTGACCTGTATCTCTTCTAAGGATTCTTTTGCTATATGGTCCTGAGCATATACATTTTATATAAAGAATATGACATAATCTTTGGCATGAAAAAATGAGGTGTAAAGACTTTTTTAATTATTGTATCAATATGCATAATAGGGTTGAATTAAGATCACTAAGACAGCCTTAAATATGAATTTTTATTGCATGCCTTGAAATTGCATCTATATTCCTTTTGTGTATTTCCTAAAAATGTGATTTTCCAAGTTTTTAAATTATCAAATGAGGAAAAAGGATAGACTTCGTAGAGTATCTATTGCACAGAGAAATGCTGACATCCACACAAATCACTGGGGGGTTGGAAACCTGAAATCTGCCTCTGCCACTAAGCTTAAAACAGAAACTGATAGTGGTAGATGATTGTCATCCTTTCTATGAAGAGGTCTGAAGGAGAACCAGCAGCTTTTCCAGAGGGTTTTGCAGGGATTTGCTTTATAGCAGACTGACACATAAACAAATGCATTGAATGAAAATGTGGGCTGCTCTTGTGGGCACTGCCAAAGCCTGGCCACAAAACAAGTGTTAAGTGTTTCTAAAAGTCAAAACCTTACTCTAAACCATGAAGCATTAGAAATTTCAAGAAACAACTTCTCCACCATTTTTCTTTCTTTTTTTTTTTCTTTTTCTTTAACTACTACAAAACCAAACCAAACCACCTCTGGTTTGTTTTGTTTTGTTTTTTCCCCAACTTCATCCATGAAACTAGCTTCTCTTTAAGAAAAAACATTTGAAACAGGCACAAAATGCAAAATATTAAACACACAGTTTGTTAAAGATAAGAAAAATTATTGGCAGCTGGAAAGCAATCCTCTCTAATGGGATGTGTCAGACTGATGTTGGCTTTCAGCCTCTGCCTATAGCACCTGAGGGAGTTTGAGAAATATTTCAGACTTCAGAAAGTCTTCAGTATAGAACTGGAAGCATAGTAACTTATGCTTTTTTTGGAAATCATACACATGGCCTTCAATATAAAAAAAAAGCCCCCCACAAATATTAATAAATTAAATGAGGTAAATGTTTATCAGATGTTTCCCTTGTTCAAGATACTTTCATCTGAAGCTTGAGATAAATTGGTAACACAGTATAATAAGGACCCTTCACCCTCTACAGGTGTTGGTTTTACACATGGGGTTCTTGATTATTTTGTTTCTTGGGTTTTTTTGAGAAATACTCATCTGGATTTATTTTTGCCCGTTACGATTTACTAAATCTGTTCTTCTTGGCATTGTGACTAGGTCTTGCGAAATTTTAAGCTTTTTATATATATATATTATTTTTTTTTTCTTTTTAAGGGAGTAATTTTGTATTTGCAACAGTGTATTTAGAGCTCCTCTCTATAATCAGCTTCTGAGACTTCTTTTACCCTTTTTCTGGGTATCTGAGACCAGAAAATAAAGATATGTTAATTAGACATGGTTGTTTTCTAATTGGGGAACAGATGGCAAGATGCTCTAGTATTTTAATGGTGACTGAGGCAGGTTTTGGGGTAATACTTTTGTTTAAGTGCCTGGAAATTGTATAAGCACAGCTCAGTTGCTCCTGTTACGTAGCTGTCTGAGACTGACTGGCTGTCTCAGGACATAGTCACACATCCTCTTACAGCTCCAGCTGTTCCAGCTGAGACATTTACTCCCCACAGCTGTTCATCACCGCATCCAAACTGGAAATCTTTACCACCCATCTGATTTATTGGTGGAGAAGCTCTCACAGGCAGTCCCTAGCCTGCTCTAACCAGGCTAAGTACCACGGTGGAATTGCTGTGCCTCTTTACCTGCAATGCCAGGGAGCAGCAGAGCCTCCAGATGGGAGGGTAAGAGCATTCACTGCTCAGGCTGGGAGGAGGAATGAGGTGGGAGAGATAAAGCCACCTCTTTGGGAATTGCTATTAAGGACAGGATGAAAGGCGTGTCCAGCCTCTGGGAATGACAGCCCGCTGCTGCTGCAGTGTTCATGCAGAACATCCAGATGCTTCTGCTTCATTTTTGCCTTGGAAAACATCCAAAATCTACCAGCTACTCTCAAGGCCCTTGCTTTGAATGAGTTTGGAGCTGTTTATATCTATGGAAAGTTAATCACATTTCCAGAGCACTGCAGGGCAAGATCTTGAGAATATTTTTCTTTCTGAAACAGGCTTTTATTGCCATCACAGTGAGTGGAGAAATAATAAAAAGGTGACATTGGCAAAAAAGACTCATTGTCACTAGATGATTTGACCAGCTCCACCAAGAAAAGGCAGCGAGAGAGGGATTTCAAGGAAAAATATGTTTCACATTAGGATATGAGCATGCTGTATTCCTCTCCTCCCATGAGATATTCCTCTCCTCCCTTTCTCCCTACCAAATTTCCCCACAGAAAATAAACTGCACTCCTGTTAATTTTAGAAATGTTGAAGTCTCCAAAGCAGAGGCCTGTCATTATTTCTTGGACAGGGAAGGGTCTACACATTGTAAGTAGCAGCTGAGCCCAGAAGCTGTAGCTGTCCTCTCAGTGATCCATGCAGGAAGCAAAGATAATAGACTGAAGTAAAATATTTTTTTAAATCATAAAAAAAAAAAAAAGGCAGATTTTAATTTTTATAGTGAAATGTCAGAAAGAACACAAAAACAAAACCAAAAACGGCAAACAAACAAAACATATATAATGCTTCCATCTGAAGTTACTTGGCTGGTAAAGGTAAACATTTGTGTAGCATAGTATTGCTGTTTTCTGGTCTTCTGCCATCTCTTCACTTTCTCCTCCTCTAAGGCACAAAGATGGATTTGATGACTCCTAATTTCTATGATTCTATCATAGCATCTCACAGTTTTCTAGCTAAAATTCTTGTCAGTGTGAAATGAAAGATTTAGAAGAAGAAATGTACTGAACAGAAGTGAAAATGCCAGGGTGAGATCTAACCTAAGCTGAAAGTATATGTCACAGAATTTTTTTTTTATCAGCTATCAAACTAAAAAATAAAGGATTAAAAATGTGAAAAGCTGAAAGTACTGAGTATCAGAACTATACATGGTGATGGTTCTGTGCACAGAATCATCTTTGCTATTATAAGATTTAGAAAACTCATGGAAAAGTCTGTCATTCCTGTGGTTCTCAGACCACATTATTGGACTTTCCATATCTCCTCAGATCTGTTGGGGCAATCTGAGGCATGTGTGTGGGGGGAAATGAGAATTTTTCATCTTTTTGCAAACAAAATAACTGGGTATGTCTTGAGTTGGCAGGAAAAATCTTGTCCTCAAACATGTTCATAACCTGATGTTTTAGTAGTACAAGTTTTTTAGTAGTAGGAGAATCAAAAGCAAATTTGTTCATACCAACTATTGCACAATATTTTCCCACTCTTTCACAACACTCTGAAAACAATGCCAGTAGAAGGTACACAAGTTCATGAAGTCATATGCCCTTCAAGCTTATCATATGTACTTGGATCTGTATCATTAAGGTTTCACAGTCTTTATAGCTTTCTTGATAGTGAATAATGTGTATTTCAGTCGGGGACTGATATAGGTGTTGTTCACATAACTTTTGACACAGTTGGATCCCTGTAACTTTATACCTGTTGCAGTGATAAAAACATTAATAGATGAATGTGCTCTTCTGAAACTGCCCAAACAATGGAAAATAGTTTATGGCTTTGGATATATTTTTGACTGTGTTACATTCATGTATCACTCCTCTTTTCAAAAATTCTCATCCATATTTTTCAGATTGATTTCCCAAGAGAATTTACTCAGTTTCTCTGGGGGAAACTGGCTGTTAAGGCTAAATCTGGTCACAACCCAGAGGACCAGTTTCTAGCCCAAGCCTATTTAGGAAGGGAATGGCAATTTGTTTTCAGTGACTTCACTCACTCGTTCTGCAATATTTCCAGTAAATGTAGGCGTTGCTCTTCTGGTGTGAACTCATCACATCATTCCTAATGTGGTCCTAACTGAAATTTTATATTACTTACTGAAATATGTACTTTTCTTTATATGTTCTTTATCTCTCATACTATTATGCTGAATCACTATAAAATGAAAAAAATCTGATGAGCTATCCACAAAAAAAAAAAAAAAAAAAAAAAAAAAAAAAAAAAAAAAAAAAAGCAACATTAGATCATCACAACTGGTGCTGTTAAATCAAATGTAAATACCCAGTCATTAACCAGCAGATCCAAAACACTGCCAAATAGTTTTTGGTCGCCGTGTTTACACAGTGACAGATTCTCATGTTAGTCATATCCTTCTGAACAAATGTTTTGGATGGATTCTTAAATCAGTGTCCACAAGGAAATAGAGGGAGGCAGCCAAACACAGTTGAACGTCTGCCATTGACAAAGGTTAAGCATTTACAGTCACTCTCTGCCTAAGTATTCTAAGGAAATAGTAAGGAGTGAAAAACAGAAGGCAAGGATGTTCTGTACTCTTGGCAACAATGCAGTAAGGGCGACAGAAGTAATTCCAAAATAGCCAGCTACTGGGCCAGGTCTGTTCCCATTAACGTCACTGGTAAAACTCCCTTTAGGTCTAAAGGGACTAGGATGGGGCAACTGGTCCTTCAAGTGACTAAGGAAAAAATATGAGGTCTTGACTCTTCTCTTTTTGCTTCCACTTTTTGTTCATGAAGAATCCCTATGGGACTGAATAAAACTAAGTCAGGATGTAAAGTATGTGCCTCCACCAGACTATCAGGAAGGCTAATAACATACTGCATCCTCTAAATTTCCCTGAAAAACTATACCCATTTTCTCCATCTCTTTTCTAGCCACTCATAATATTATCCTGCCCCAATTAGTTTCACTCACAAAAATCAGCTGGATTACAGCAATGGAAGAATATTTTTGGGTGAAAATAAAATTTAAACCAAGGTGGATTTTACTGTTTCAGTCCTCACATCACACAACTCTAGGTCCACATATATCTGGGATGACTTTTTGGTCACTGGCCTGACATTTAAACCTTAACCCTCACATAAACCTTATGCAGATGGATGGACGGAATTCACTGACATAATTCTGCTCTGACATCTCTATAGTACATTGAAGATACCTGCAGGCATCCCAAGGCATGGAAAGTCATGGACAACTGCTTCAGGCACACAGGACACAGGGGACATACCCTTCCTCACCAAGGACAATACAATTTTTTGTTTTCACTGTTTTTCTTCATTTTCTTTGTTTTTCAGATTAAAGTGAAACCTGAAAGATTTACAGCAACACTCCTGTAGATTTTTTTTAAATAAATGCAAAGTAGGGAAGATATATTTACTTAAAATTTAGACCCTTACCTGCTTTTAGCCTACAGTGTTTCACTTTTTTTATCCTTTAATGAGCAAGGGATGATGATATATGCATAAGCTGAAAATATAAATCTTACTCGTAAAGTCTGACAGTATCTGAAGAACAGAAAATTGTTTTCTCAAACATCTAATTTGTTGTTAAAGAAAGTAGCACTGAGGAGATACAGGCATTGAGCAGCACACTACTTTAGCCTTTTTAGGTTTGTAAAGATAATTTAGTTTCTATAAATTAGGATATGCTTCAGCACACGCTGTAGTCAATGGTAAGACCTGTGAAGAGCAGTGGAAGACAGCTTGGGCTTTTAATGTCTGTGCAGCACAGAGGCAGTGGACCTGTGAGGTACCTACTGCACTGTGGCAGAGGCGAGGGCAGGGAGCTACAGTGACACAAGGATCAGCTGGCATCGTGGAACCCACATCTCCTGCTCCTTCTGGTTATCAGAAGAAAGAGAAAATGAGAGGGAGTGAGGTAAACTTTTCATGTCCAGGCCCACTATTGTCCCAGACACCATTTAATTCCCATCACATGTCCATACAAAAACCATCTGATGGGAAACTGTGTGGGGCCCTGTAAGAATGAAGCCTCTTGCAGTCAGCCAGACCTCCCAAAATCCACCTCTTGCCCCATGAGCTTGGAGTCCACCTTTCCCCATTTTTGCCATGATTTTGCTCTAGCAAGGAACAGCTACAACTTATTCCTCAGTGCACAAAAACCCATTCAAAAGGGAGTGGAATATTTGCCTGTCACTGGCCTTTAGCCTTTAGAGAGAACTTCAAAAGTTTTTAGTGAAGCTCTAAGAAACGTGGTCTAGTGGAAGGTATCCCATGGCAGGGGGTGGAACTAAATGATCTTTAAGATCCTTTTCAACCCAAGATGTTCTGTGGTTCTATGGATCTGGGCCACAATTTCAACTCTGACACAAAAAACCTTCATTCACCAAGACTGAGATATGGCAACCAACACTTCTGCTCATATTGTAGTATAACTGACCAGGGTACCACTTTTTTTTTTTTTACCACATTTTTAAGTTCTCTTGAATCACTAGCAATATCCATGAACAGTAGTGATGGGAGGCAAACTTGCCATATTTTAGTTCAAAGTGTAACCTAGAAAAGGATATGTCTGCTCAGACATGCAGAATTAACCACTAAAGTTTTCCTTAGTTAAGGACTGCTAACTAAATCCACAGCTAGCCCAGATGGGGCTACTTTTCATGTTAAAATGTTGAGTTGAAGAAATATGTATCTCAGCCATAAAAACTATCCTGAGAACTAAATTCAGGGTAATCTTCTCCTGGCACTATATCTGAAGTGGATTTAAAATATATATTTCTAACAACATTGCATTTGTCAGGCTATTGGTTTAAAAATTTTAGAACAAAGGAACAAAGAACTGGAAATCTTCCAGAAGAAGAGATAATTTGATGATTCCCCATATAAATCTAACATTTCTTCATCTTTTATAAATGGAATTTTGCAGGTCATTAGTCCCTTAATGTACTATAGCTATTAGTTGTAGTGAGTGTGTGTGTGTGGGTGTGTGTATGTGTGTGTGTGTGTGTGTGTGGGCGCAAAAAAAAAAAAAAAGCATTAAAATGGTTGAGATACAGAGAAAATTGACTGCTGCATAGTCACCACTTTTAATAAAGATTTTTACTACACCCTTGGTATTATGGATCTATAATATGCAAATGTGTAGCATCATTAATATGCATTTGCTGCATACACCCTCCATAACAGAGTATGTTATGGGAATACAAATTAAAAACAATATACTCGACTCAGCTAAATTTTAATGGCCCATTGTATGAGTGATCCCCAGTTGGGAGGTACCTAAGCCCTTTGTCTTCAATACTTCCCTTCCTCCCCCAATCCATTTTCTTTATTTGCTCTTGTTTTCACTGACACCTCCACAGCTGAATTAGTTAGGTCTCAGCATAAAAAGTAAAGTTAATATGAAGATTCTTTGTTACCTTCAACAGGGTCAGCTGGCACAAGAACCAAAAGCTGAGTCCTGGAAATTAGTTCAGCCAAGAGTGCCCATAGTGGGATAGGCTGTGCAGCCCAATCTTCTGTGTTAACATACCCTGAGGTTACTTTGGCTTGTATTTGCTGCTGAAGGGAGCATTACCTAACAGAGGTGAGTCATTTGAGAACATCCCCTGGCACACTTCTGTTCTCACCTTCCCTTCCTGGCTGCCTGTCCAGGGAAAAGAAGCTTCTGATACCTTCCCCTCCATCCATCTCTGGAGGGACAAGATCACTTCATCTGGCAAACCAGACCAAGAGCTCCCTCACTGACTCACATATACCAGGAGCTTAAGTTTTGACAGTGGATGCAATCACTGCCCCAAGTTTTCCCTTCTGACTCTCTACCAGAGTCAGCAATTGTGCAGCAAGGACGGACATAAAAATGAAGCATCTTTAAAGCACTGCAAATTACAGCCCAGCATTTTAATGTCAACTGGTATTGACTGAGGCTTGACCTAAGATGAGCCTCAAAGCGAAGCCTTGCAGGATACAGTTCACAGGCAGAGCAGACAGGGACCCTGCTGGCATTAGGAAAAGCAGATGTCACCCAAAATGAAGTTACCCATCCTTATTAGCCAGTGCATGCAATCAAACCTAATAACGAGCTTGCTGTTCTCATCAGTGCTTTTTTGCCTGCAGGCTCTAAACTTCGTAGATCAGATGCACCTCCAACCACACTGTGGGGACAGTGTCATCTGACAGTGACTGTGAAAAGGATTGGAAGGGAAGGTAATTTCTTCCACTGCCCCAGTTAAACCTAGCAAAGAATTGGGTAAAAGTCCTTAGTGGATGCTAAGAGTTTAACATACTGCCAGTTTATCCTCAAGTATTTAAGGCAAATCAAAGATACGCTTCTATAAACTGGAGCATTTAAAAAAAAACACAGGCACTTTTACAGTTTTCTTTATTCAGTAATGGATTTTTATTTATTCAGTAATGGATTCCAATGTTATTTTCCTTTATTTAACAATGACTGTCCCAGAGCTTAATCCTTCCAAAATGCAATACAGAGAAAAATAACACAGCAAGATGCACTCTGCTAATTGGGCTTCCCAATATGGTGTGAGGACATTTGTCACTCAGCCTGCTTATTCAGTGCTGCATATTCAAGCTGTTTCAGCAGGTCTAGCTACTCTTGTGGGAAATTAAGCTGCAATCAGATTCTGCAGTCATCCAGGTCTAGACTGTGATATTGATCACAGAGCAGACAAACTGAAGGAAGAAGGTTGAAATGGCCACTTTTTATAAGAGCACAGTTACTTGACAGAAAGTGATCTTTTGCAGATGCAAATCTACTATGCAAGGTGTAATGTGGTTGATTCCAAAAGCTGTGAAACAGCTTGGAAGCCAAAACATAAGAAAGATTCCATTTATTTTATATGTCTGTCTCATGTCACCTTGAATGTCCATGAATCTGAGTTACACCAAACCTTGGAGTTTGGTGTAATTCAGGATCTCTTTCAGATTTGTAGTCATTAATCACAATGTCTTTCATGGAAATTTCATCACAGATGTATAAGAAAAAGCATGCCACCCTGATGCAAAATTGCAGAATCTTTGATGCAGTTGCTCTGTCCACAAATTCTTTGGTAAGTCCCAGCTCCTGCCTACAACAGGAGCCTACAAAGTTGAAGACCTCAGAAAACCTATACAAGTCTCCATCATGTGACAGATTTTCAGCTGAAAGCTTTGTCCATTTTGATTCCTTTATCAATACGTGATAACTACTGAACATGAGTTGTTGAAGTTCTTCGTGCTTTGAACTAATTTTACCACAGCTATAAATGACATGTTGACCAGTGAAGCAAGAATGGAATGACATAATGGAACCAAACATTTTCGTCTGCCAGTTTCAACTAGTTGATGATTAGATGTGAAATGTAATATTGACAATGTTCTAAGTGTTCCTGTCCAAAGATAAGTGGAAGTGGGTATGTAATGTGAAAAAAATCTTTATTTGTACACAAATAATCCTGGCTAGAATGGGCAAAAGGCTACATAAAAATAAAGATCCTTAACACTGACTTATAAAACACAGATATAAATTCCAGAGGGCAAGTGATGACAGAGATAGAAATGACAATTGTGAACTAGGATATTATTAGCTCACAACCATAAGTTCCTAACAAAAACTATAAAATCATTAACAAAGTTTTTTATTCTTAAGTAATATTTAGTGTGCACTATACAGGAAGCTCAAAGAAAATTGCCAGTGAATTGACATTGAAATTTAGATTTACTGAAAATTGTCAGTAAATCTAGACTATAAAAAGATGATAGTGAGCACAACTACAGACAGAAAGGAAAGGACTCTTACTGAGGATAATCATAGTTGCGGATTTTAAGAAATCTAGTGAGCACAACTACAGACAGAAAGGAAAGGAAAAGACTCTTACTGAGGATAATCATAATTGTGGATTTTAAGAAATCTCAGAAAATGTAACTGTCCACATAATTTTCAGTGGCATCTCATAAACTCTTCTGAGATCACAATATCCTTCACATAATGTTTTCATTTGTGAATAGGATAACCAAATCTACATACATGCTTAAATAAAACACATACAAAATAAGCACTTTTTGAAATTATTTCCTTTCGTATCTTTTTTTTTATAAAACCCAGAGAGTGAACCAAATCACTGATTAATCTGAAAAAGATTGAAAAATATTTTAAGTGCACATAACCAAATCTACATACATGCTTAAATAAAACACATACAAAATAAGCACCTTTTGAAATTATTTCCTTTTGTATCTTTTTTTTTCAAAAAACCCTGAAAGTAAACCAAATCACTGATTAATTTGAGAAAGATTGGAAAAGATTTTAAGTGCATTTGCATCCTACTCTTAGAAATATTTGATCCATTACTTCCTTCTCTGTGAAATAATGTCCGTGAATTAGAAATATTTGATCCATTACTTCCTTCTACATTATTCTCTGTGAAATAATGTCTGCGAGGAAAATACTTGGTCAACTTTTGAACAAAGACTGCAAATTGCTCAGAAGATATTCCCTTTTTCATACCCCCATGGTGCCTAGCAGCAATGAGCACCCTGCTGTCTCCATAGCTGGAACTGCTAAAGGAGAGTCCCAGGAGGACAGAGACCTTTTTCACAGAAACCTCCCTTTGGTGGGCTGCAACAAACATTGCTGACAACAGCTCCTACTGAGTTACTTTCTAGCTTACAACAAAAAGACTTTGTGCCAAAATTGTTTCCTAGGACCTACCTGGTACCGAAGATCTTTTCCCTGAAAACCAGTAGCTAGTGAGTGCTCTACCAGACAAGAGAGGAGGAATGGCCTGAACATCTGAGAATCATGAGTTTCTACACCGCTCCTGAGCAAATATTTAAAAGTTCATATGAACATCATTTATTTCTCAGAATAAAACAAGCAAAATGAGAAGTATTGAATATCAAGCCTAAGAGACCAAAAAGTTCACTGAAATATCCACCAGACTGTCAGTTTAAGCCCTGCAACTTACAGCAAAATAGACAGCAGAGAGATATTTCCCTTAGAGAGTTAAAAACCACCAAGTCCAAGCTGAAGGAGACTGGCTCACAGCAAATAATTGAAAATCCCCCAAGCTCTGGTCTAGATTCAATTCACCTTATTGCTGGAAAATAAAATAAACCATCATTTGATAGGATAACCCTGGTTAATCATTCAGACTTCTACTCATACAAGGAAAATGGCAGGTCACAGTATTTGTCCTTAATGGCAAAAACAACTTCTTCATTGAAAATTCTGTGTCTCTATATAGAATTTTTCTTCAAAAGATTATGAAAGATCATGTGAAAAACAGTGCACAGGGAGGTTCAGTCTCGTCTGGCTGAATTGGCTTTGAAGCACTGGTCTCTGAACCACTTGCTACAATTAACAGGTCCCTTTCCTCATTAATATTGGACCCAGATGGTTCAGGCCCTGTAAGGATGGCTCATCTGGCACCCTGATGAGATCTGTGGAGGAACATAAATACAACAGAAGCCACTGCCATCGAAAAAGCTGCTTCTTCAGCATAAGAAAATAACTAATTTACATCAAAAAAGTGATATTTCATTTTCTCATTCTATGACCATTAAAATAAGCTGGGCATTTTCTTAATATCCAGGGTGGGGGGGAAAGGATAAAAGCCAGAAGGTCTGGCATATAACTAGTGAGGACCAAATAAGACAGAAGGAAAGCTAGTTCAAACTCAAACTCCTTTTCTTTCTTTTCTTTTCTTTTCTTTTCTTTTTTTCCTTTTCCTTTTCTTTCCCCTTGGTTTTATTTCTGCTAAGATGCAGAAATATATTGAGCCAGAAAAGTGTACAGACAGAAAATTTCAGAAACTATAGATTCAGTGTCTGAATCAGATACTGTTTCCCATCCAAGGTTCTATAGATGTTTTAGAAAAATTTATTAGATTTCAGTGCAACTGAGAATGTTACCCAACTCATCTGACAGAGAAAAGAGAATGATATTAATTGCTACTGGCAGAAAACAAGTCTGTATCAAAGCCTGGGCCAAACCTTCGAAATCTTGGCCTCTACATGTAAGAGAAAGTTACAGACCAGTCCAATTACTCTGGAGGTGGCAAATACTTTCTTTTCATATTCTAAGCATACACATATATATATATTAAAAAAAAAAAAACAAAAAACAAACCAAACCAAACCAAACCAAAACAAAACGAAAAAAAAAAAAAAAGGCAGAAAAACCCCACTGACTTTTAAAATCAGCTATTGGCTTCCTCAGGAAGTCAATGTTTTGACTGCTTTAAAAATTGGTCATTAAAAGACTTACAATAGATTTCTTTTATCAACTCATCTCTTTGTGAAACAGAAACAGAGATGAGAAAAATTCTTGTTCATTAAGTTGACAGCCACTGCAACATTCATGCCTTCAAAACAACCAAGTTTTCAGTTTCTATAAATTGATGAAGGGGCACGTCATTGTAGTCACTCATGTTTCACACACACCTGTTAAGCAGTGACTTTACTTGTGGGTTTAAAATACTTGTACTTCCTGAGGATGGTGGTGCCTCTCCTGCCACAGCCACAAAAGGATTTCCAAAGCTGTTCAAAACCTTTATTATGGGAATAAAAATTGTTATGCTGAGTGAAAACTTACATGTTGAAAAAGTCCAGTTCTTCAGAAGCCTGTGTTCAGCCAACTTGACAGGCTGTGAGGGCATTTGTCCTGAGGCAAATGATACACTGTCAGCCCAAGGGAGCCTGCTCTCCTGAAATTTATCTGGGATACCACAGCAGATGAATCACTCTTCTGGTAAAAGCGTCCTTGTGTGTGCTGTTAAGAAAGAAAACGGGACTCGGAACGCATTTAGCAGATCTGTAACTGGAGTTGAGTAATGCAGCCAAGCCCCAAATTTCAGCAACACATGCTACTCTGCCCTCACACTACTCGTAAACAACTTCTTTCCTTGCTGCTTTCCAGCCAGTTCACTTCCCTTTCTAATCCCAGGAAGCCACTGCCCACCCTTAAATGCTGAAAGATACATTTTAATCAAGCGGAGAACTGAACAGTAGCATAATTTTACTTAAAGCACACACCAAGCCACACTTCAGAGCTATTTGGGGAAGAAACCAACCGCAGGCAGGCAGCCCCCCTTGCAGAGTTCAGGCTGGGTGGTCATTTGAGCCAGGGACAACACAGTCAATTCAGACAGATGGCCACTAAGTCAGCCTGGCACATTTGGGGAATATCCAAGATGTTAAAAAGGA